AGCTGGCTATTACAAGTCAGTTGCATCCAGTGTTTTTTGATATATAGAATTTATGGCAAAAAAAACAAAAAATAAAAAAAAGAATTGCTTAATTGATTAGTTTGCTTTACATACTATATACCTTTCTCTTTCAGTGGATCCCTCTGACCTAAGCAAACATAAGTGGGTTCATAAGCACCAAAACACGTTTTTATTAAGTATTTGTCAGATCAGAAAGAAAAACTTAAGTTATAAAGCGGTGTTTTAATAATTTGAGTTTTGTCAATTTTACTATCAAGAAATTATTATACACATTTACTTTATGTCTGTAATTTTAGATCTATTGTTGCACAGGATTTCTGGCTATTACAAGTCAGTTGCATCAAGTGAATTCTGATTTACTTGGTTGGTGGCTTTGTGAACGACAGTTACCCTCAGGTGGACTCAATGGAAGGCCAGAGAAGGTATTGTTTGATGAGCTGTGTTTTGCTAGCCTTAGAACCTTGAGTTATTGCTGCTTTGTGTTGCCTATTCAATATTCTTGTAAATTGACCATGAGCTTATTTATTACCTTTCCCCGTTGTAATTCTTCAGTAATACCTCCTACATGTCAGAATTTTTTTTGAGACAAAGTCTCACACTGTCACCCAGGCTAGAGTGCAGTGGCGTGATCTCACTCCATTCACTGCAGCCTCCGCCTCCTGGTTCAAGTGATTCACCTGCCTCAGCCTTCGGAGTAGCTGGGACAATGGGTGCATGCCACCACACTGGGCTAATTTTTTGGTCTTTTTAGAGACTGGGTTTCACCATATTGGCAAGGCTGATCTTGAACTCCTGACCTCCTGATCTCCCCCCCCGCCCCACCTTGGCCTACCTGAGTGCTGAGATTACAGGCATGAGCCACTGTCCTTGGCCTGTATTTTTATTTTTAAACCTCAATATTACTAAATAATAATGGATAGAGAAATGTCCGTAGTAGCTGTCTAGAATAGAGTGGAATAAAAACCCTGGGGAACTGCCAACAGAAAAATGGTGGCTATGGGGAGCAACAGGTGCCTGCACTTGCACACAGTCTTTTCAGGGATCTCATTAAAATGCAGCCTTGGGTGGGATTTTCTTCTTTATAGACTTAGGTTACCATAATTTGAAGAGTTAGGCTTTAGGTGATTTTTTTAAGCAGGTGTGTACCCACCTGGACAGCACTTAGAAAAACGGAACTGTACCCATGGATTTCATGATGCTGTATACTACTGGTTTCATGGTTAAGGGGCTGAGTTAGGCATTCATTATAGATAGAAATAAGGTAGATGCATGCTTATCAGTGAGTATTGAAATATTCGGCATGGCTACCTATGAATTGGAATTTTGTCTCTTGCCCATTAATTATCTTTTATTCTAAGCGAGTATTTCAAACACTGCATGTCAGTATATCCCTGGATTTTGTCCTTCCGCATGGTTTGATGCTTTGAACATCAGATTACCTGAGAGTGAGACTTAACACACTTTTAAATTGTTCTCAAAATTAGGGAAATAAAAGAATGAAATTGGCAACTTTTTTCCCCTCCTAGTTACCAGATGTATGCTATTCATGGTGGGTGCTGGCATCCCTAAAGATAATTGGAAGACTTCATTGGATTGATAGAGAGAAACTGCGTAATTTCATCTTAGCATGTCAAGATGAAGAAACAGGGGGATTTGCAGACAGGCCAGGAGATATGGCAAGTAATATTTCTGACATTTATATAAATTTTGTTTTTTAGTGTTGTATTACTTCATGGTTATGGATTTCCAGGGTGGCATTCCAAGTGTTGCTTTGAAAGCAGTATTTTTTTCTACTTATTGTAGAATATATGAAGGATATAGAACAATCTTACAGAAATTTCTTGTTGCTAACAAAATTAGTGTATGGCAAAGATTGGGTATTAATAACAATTTGGTTAAGTTTTCATTTTGCAATCTCTATAAATTCTTGTTATAGGTGGATCCTTTCCATACCTTATTTGGAATTGCTGGATTGTCACTTTTGGGAGAAGAACAGATTAAGCCTGTTAATCCTGTTTTTTGCATGCCTGAAGAAGTGCTTCAGAGAGTGAATGTTCAGCCAGAGCTAGTGAGCTAGATTCATTGAAGCTAAAGTTGCAAAATGTAGTTTTGCCATTTTAACATTTCTGTATTTGAAGTGCTTATTGAATCTAAAAATGACTACTGTTAGTATTTTGTATATTGTGTTACATTAATTATGATAAATTATATAATTATACATATTGTAAAATAAAAACCTGTATTTTATTTTCTGCTTTTTATTGTGAAGTCCTGTTATTCTGACTACAGTTTTTTTGTGTATACTTCTGTGTCTGTTATTTTTGTTTCAGTAACTGAGCAAACTTAAAAAAACTCGTGGTTTTTACCCATGTATACCTTTCATGTGTTCTATAACAAGTTGATGTAATATTTGTGTCAACAAGAATGTTAACTGGAGAGAATTCATACATGAATTAAATGGTGCACAAAATAAATGGCTGTTGAAATTTGGGAATGATTGACAGGTTTGAATACGGTTATTCTGAATTGGTCACAGGCTTAATTTAGGTTAAATGTCCAGCCACCATCTTAAATTGGGGTTGTGATTTGGACTGTAGAATTACCCAAGGAAGGGGTTGTCTTCAAATAAGGTAACACTAATGGATAAGATGGTTACCACAGTGTTTTTTGCACTTGTCTTTTTCCAAAACTAAAATGGGTATAATCACTCTTTAAGGGCTTACGGTTTTGTTGAAAAGTCTTATTTTGTTTCCCAGGCTGAAGTGCAGTAGTGAAATCACAGCTCACTACAACTTCCAACCCCTGGGCCCAAGCAATCCTCCCACCTCAGTCTCCTGAGTACCAGGCAGTACAGGCATCTGCCACCACGTCCACTGTGCCCAGCTGATTTTTAAATTTTTGGTACAGGCAATTTCTTTCCCACTCTGGTCCAAGGTGAAATGATTCTCTGGCCTCAGCCTTTTGAAGTACTGGGATTACAGACAGGAGCCACTGTGCCCCGTCTGAAAATTTTTTTGATGGAAATTGAGATTTTAAGTAGTTTGCAACACCTTGTGCAATAGTCATTCCAAGAACAGAGACATTTTTAAGGACTTCTCACTGCTTGTGGGTGAACCAGGCTGTGCATGACTGAGAAAAGACTTAACAGTGGCAGGATTTCAGTAGTGGTGTAAATGTCTTCTAATAGCTTTTATATGGTGGTATCCAGAAATTTTTGTCATGTTTAATCCATGCATCTCTGATAAATTGGTATTATTGGTCATATTTAAGTAATTTTCTGAAGGTCACTATTGCAAAGCTGGAGTTTGAACTTCTAGTGTGCTATTAACTGATTTATGTTTGAAAGTACAGCATTAGAAATGGTGGATGGGGAACTATCAACTGTCGGGGAGATCTCACCCTGTCTTTCCCTGGTTCCTACTGGACTATGCACAGCCATGTGTGTACTGTCTTGTGATAATATAACTGGATATTTCGTGTATTTGGTCACAAGATCAACCTTAGGTGGGTTATGCTGCGAGCATTACATGTTCTCACTGTGTCAAAGGCACTGGGTGTACTGTGTTGGATGGTTTCTACATTTAAAGATAAGCTAGTGTGCTTGGAGGTGTGGGAAGTGCATGTAATGTTTTACAATAAGGGAGATGGAGTGCTGTGAGAATAAAGGGGGTAACAATTTGGGTGGTAATTGATGGGCCTTACAGAATTCTGTTCAGTCTGATACCTGCAGGCTGAGGAGGTTCCTATGAAGTTCATATGGAAAGTAATGGGTTTGGGAATGGCTGCGAGCAGGGTCGTATACCTGAAGCACGTGAACCTATGCGGAAAGCGGAGGCCTGCGTGCGCCTGCGCAGTGCAGCTTAGTGCGTCGGCGTGCAGTTCTCCCGCCCTTTTCAGCGACGCAGCTTCTGTAGTTGGGTTGCGGGAGCTGGCCCTCAGAAACCTATACTTACTGGGTTAGGGAAAGTTTTGGAGGATGCTGAGGCCTGAGGTCTCATCAACCTCGCCTTCTGCCCCTGCGGTTTCCCTCTCATCGGGAGAAACACGCTCACCTCAGGGTCCCCGCTACAATTTCGGACTCCAGGAGACTCCTCAGAGCCGCCCTTCAGCCCAGGCCGTCTCTGCATCCACCCCTCCCGGCACGTCGGGAGCCGCGGGCGACCGGAGCAGCAGCAGCAGCCTCCCCTGCCCTGCGCCAAGCTCCCGGCCAGCTCAAGGTAAGTAGTTGGGTGGAGGAGTCTCCTCGAGGCTAGGGGCTGGCAGCTCCTGGAGGCTCAGGGACGCCTGGGTGGTGGTTACCACAGTGAAGTTCAGTTGTGGTTTGGTTGGGGCGTGAGATCAGAGTACCCTGGGAATTTGGTGAGTCTGGGATATTAGAAGCCTTGACTTTTCAAATTGGTTCTATTGCAAGACCTTGATGGTGGATGGCTCAGTCCTGAGGTAGGCTGAAGTGTCACACGTAATGTCCCTGACAGTGTCTGACAAATGACCGTTTGTGTATGAGTTTACTGATACAAGTGGTGAGCTGATCTTTGGTTGCCGAATTTAATTCTCCAAATCTTGCTAGGCTGGGATAAAATAGATTAAATTGAACATTTCATATTTTAGGAAAATAATATGTTTAGTTTTAAAAGATGTGAGCCTGACAGGGTGACTCACACCTGCAATCCCAGCAGTTTGGGAAGCCGAGGTTGGCAGATCACTTGAGGCCGGGAGTTCCACACCAGCCTGGCCAACATGGTGAACCTCCCACCCCCATCCCCATCTCTACTAAAAATACAAAAATTGGGTGGGTGTGATGGTTTGTGCCTGTGGTCCCAGCTACTCAGGAGGCTAAGGTGGGATGATCTCAAGTCCAGGAGGTTGAGGCCACCTTAAGCTGAGATCCTGAAATCGCACCACTATATTTGAACCTGAGTGATACGGTGAGACCCAGACTCAAAACAAGCAAAAAAGATGCATGTCCTTCAAATCATTTATTATTTTGTTAGTCTCCATTCATGACAAAGCATCACCATTTTTCACACACGATTGCAACACAATGGTAAAGTAACAAATACCAAATCCGGTGGTCATTTTTCTGTTCATCTCATGTGACCTTTCTGCTGTATTTAATGTTCTTAATTTCTTTTTTTTTAGAAGCAGAGTCTTGCTATGTTGTCCAGGCTGGTCTCAAACTCCTGGTCTCAAGCGCTCCTCCTGCCTTGGTCTCTCCAAGTGTTGGGATGGCAGACATGAGCCACCACTGTCTGGCCCATTTTTTGTTTGTTTGTTTGTTTGTGTATTGTACTTTGGGCTTGGGTACATGGGCACATCCTGCAGGATTGTTGCATAGGTACATTCATGCCATAGTGGTTTGCTGTCTTCATCCCCCACCCCCCACCCTGGTCACCTACATCAGGCATTTCTCCCGGTGTTATCCCTCCCCATCCTCCCTACCCCCCTCCCCTCCCCTCCCCTCCACCACCCCCACCTAGCCCAGTGAGTGTTCACTTCCCTGTGCCCAAGTGTTCTCATTGTTCATCACCTGCCTATGAGTGAAAACATGCAGTGTTTGGTTTTCTGTTCTTGTGTCAGTTTGCTGAGAATGATGGTTTCTAGATTCATCCGTGTTTCTACAAAGGACGCAAACTCTTTTTTTATGCCTGCATAGTATTCCATGGTGTATTTATGCCACATTTTCTTTGTCCAGTCTATCATTGACGGGTATTTGGGTTGGTTCCAGGTCTTTGCTATTGTAAACAGCACCACAACGAACATGTACACGTGTCTTTATAATAGAACAATTTATAATCCTTTGGGTTTATATCCAATAATGGGATTGCTGCGTCAAATGGAATTTCTATTTCTAGATCCTTGAGCCCATGTTTAATGTTCTTGATTTGCCTTCTCTTAAACTCTTAATTTGCCTTTCTTGATTCCACTTGCCCCTGTTTTTCTGCTACCTCCCAGAGAACTGCTATGCTCACCTTTGTTCTCAAATTATGGGCATGTCATTAAAGCTTTTTTTCCTAGGCCACTTCTGTCTCCACAGCTCAGATCTCATCTGTACTGCAGACTCTTATTTCAAACTGTCTTCTGAAGTTTTTATCTATGGACCAATGGATACCTGAGACTCACTATATGATTAATTAAATTCTTCTCTGCATTTTTCTTTTTTTGAGACAGGGTCTTGCTCTTTTGCCCAGGCTGGAGTGCAGAGGCATGATCATGACTCACTGTAGCCTCAAATTCCTGGGCTTGAGCAATCCTCCTGCCTCAGCCTCCCAGGTAGCTGGGACCACAGGTGTGTGCTCCTACAGATGGCTAATTTTAAAAATTTTTTGTAGACACAGTGTCTTCCTATGTTCCCCAGGCTGGTCTTGAACTTTTAGGCTCAACTGATCCTCCTGCCTCAGCCTTCCAAAGTGCTGAGATTACTGGCATGAGCCACTGCACCTAGCCCTCAAACTCCTAAGTGTTCTTCCTTCCTTCAAGCTTACTTAACTGTACTACCAGCATTATGTAGAAAATTATTTTATCATGACTCTTGCCACTTAAATCAGTAGCCCTGTATCTGCAGGTAAAAGATAAAACTCTTTAGAAGGATATCCAAAGCAATTGGGATCAGTTTCTAATCTTTACACCTTTATCCCCCATCACTTGTTAATATTTACCCTGCTTTCTAACAAAACTGAGCTACTTGCACAAGTTCCTCTAAGGCAACATGCATGTTCACATTGTCAGTATAATCCCTCTCTTCATCAGATGCTTTGTCATCCACTTACTTTATCAGTAATGATAACATTCACTAATTCATATGCACCTACTTTGTTCTGGCTTTTTACTAGGCAGATGGTCTCTTTGATCCTCACAGTAATTCTGCAGAGTAGATTTTTTGTTCCAGTTTTATGGACAGAACCAAGGTCCAAATAGGTGAACAAAGGCCCAAATAGGTGAACAAAGCCCAAATTATGTTAGCAGCTGGGGATAGTAATCTACATTTTCAAGGAACTTAAGGTCTTATAGAGAAGACAGACTTAAAAATCAACAAATACACATTTAAGAGATAACTATTTGAGGTATTTATAATTTTTGAGGTATTTATAATTAAAATATGGGGAAGAAAGTGAGAAAATACATTTTACAGAGTAAGCGCACCTTGAACTGGTCTTGAAGAATAAGTAGGAAGAAGAATGCCAGCTGAAAGGAAAGAGGAGAGAAGAGAAACTGGAATGCATTCTTGAGAAAAACATGCAAAGGCACAGAATGTAGAGCTGTAAATAATTTTGCATGGCTAGAGCTGGAGAGTGATCTGTGTAGATAAACTTGGATGTAGATACACTTGTGGGAGTTAGATCTGGGAGACAAATTTTGTCCAGAGAGCCCCATGTTCAACACCAGGTCTCTGGCTTTGGTGACTGGATAGATGGTAGTAGTATTTTCTGATACTGGGAATTTTGTAGGCAAAGCAACTTTTAGAGGGAAGATGATGAGTTCTGTTACAGACATGCTGAGTGTAAAGAGCCTGTGGGATGTCCATATATTTATATCAAGATAATTAAATGTAGGAAACTAGGACTAAGAAGAGAGAAACTTGAGGGAAATATAGATTTGAAAGTTTTAGTTCATCTGAGAACAAGAAACAGCCCACTCCATCTCCAGTTTCTCCATGTCCAGTTTCTGTCAACCACTCTCATCCTTAGCTCCCCAAGAACTAGGAATGCTAATGGAGAACATTTTATGTTGGTTCTACAAACTTCTTTATGATAATAGCCCTACACCCTGTCCACATCTTTGTAAATATTCTCTATATCAAATTATCCCAGTTTGAGTATATCATTGATTCCTGCTGGAACCCATATAATGAAGTTATATTTTACTCTATGGTTTGGGGAGACACATGCGAATTGTAAGAAAGAGAGATACTGATCAGATTTGTTTTTCAGAAAGATTACTGGTGATGTGAAGAATAGATTAGAGAGGTATAATACTGGAAGCAAGGAGAAGGAGAAGAAGAAGTGAGACTTGCGTAAGGACCAAAGAAGATACAGGCTTAAAATGGGCTGGGAGGAGTAGAGAGGGATTTAAATGTTAGCGATGTTAAAAAAGAAAAAAGAATTCTGAGTGGGGAGGGGAGGGGAAAAAAAAAAGAAAAGAATTCTAGGACTTACTCACTGAATGTTAGGGCTGAGGAAGGAGGAGTTGAGAATGTCTCCTAAGCTTATGACTTGAGTGACAAGGGACAAACTGGTACAATTGACTATACTGGTAATAAAGAATTAATTTTTTTTTTTTTGAGTCGGAGTCTTGCCCTGTTGCCCAGGCTGGAGTGCAATGGCGCCATCTCAGGTCCCTGCAACCTCCACCTTCCAAGTTCAAGTGATTCTCCTGCCTCTGCCTTCGAGTAGCTGGGAATACAGGCCTGTGTCACCACGCCTGGCTAATTTTTTGTATCTTTAGTAGAGATGGGGTTTCACCATGTTGGCCAGGCTGGTCTCAAACTCCTGACCTCGTGATCCACCTGCCTCAGCCTCCTAAAGTGTTGGGATTATGGGCGTGAGCCACTGCGCCCGGCTAAGTAATTAATTTTGAGGGACATTTAGAATGCTGGGAAGATACCTAAAGGTTTATGGCCAAGAGATAGATATAGTGACCTATACATTGTCTGATTGAATATTCTGTGATGATAGAAACATTTCATACTTATGCTGTCCAATATGGTAACTAGTAACCATATGTGGCTTTTGAGCATTTGAAAATGTTGCTAGTGTGACTGAGGAAATTTAAATTGCATTTAATTTTGATTTAATTAAATGCCCATATGTGCTGCTTTATTGAACAATGCAGCTGAGAATGTTTTTTGTACTTTTAAAGGATTAAAAAATCAAAATAATATTTTGTGATATTAAAATTATATGAAATTTAGAATTCAGTATGTAGAAGTAAAGTCATTTTTAATTGAAACATGTCATTCTCATTTATGTATTATCTATGACTGCGTTTTTAAGATAGTGTCAGAGCTGAGTAATTATGACAGTGATTACATGGCCCACAAAGCCTAAAATATTTGCCATCTGGTCCTTTTATTTAAAAGCTTATGGGCCAGACATGGTGGCTCACCATATCCAGCTAATTTTTGTATTTTTAGTAGAGGCAGGGTTTCACCTTGTTGGCCAGGCTGGTCTCGAACTCCTGGACTCATGATCTACCTTCCTAGTCCTCCCAAAGTGCTGGGATTACAGGCATAAGCCTCCTTGCCTGGCAGGAAGTAGATGTTAATAGAAACAAAGAGGAGAGATGAGATGCTCAGAGGAAATGTATAATGTTGATTTATGAGGGAAGGCTTAAAAATATGAAGCCCTGGAGGCCAACAGTTAAGAGGCAGAGGAAAAAGGAGTTGGCAAAGGAAACTAAAAGTGGTTTTAAAGAGAATCAAGATACAGAGTTGTTGTGGAAATCAAAGAGAATAAGAGAACAGAGCCTGAACATTTTTAATTTTTTCTAGAACTTCTATGTGCCAAGAGGCTATGCTAGTTTGTTTATGTATGTTATTTAAAACTTTTTTGACAACGCTGTAAAATAGGTAATATCTTACATCAGTAGGTAAGTACCTAAATAAGGAACCGAAGTCAGTTCAGTCTAAAACTCTACAATGCCATTTGAATGGGAGGAGAAAATTTCAATAAAGAAATCGACAGAAGGTTAAAAGAGGTCTAATAATTATTATACAAATGAAACATATGTCTTAGCTTGTTTTCTGTTGCTTTTAACAGAATACTTGAAACTGGGTAGTTTATAAAGAAAGAAAATGTGTTTCTTGCAGATCTGGAGGCTGGGAAATCCAAGGTCAAAGGAGGCACATCTAGTGTGGGCCTTTGTGCTGGTGGAGTCTCTGTACAATCTTGAAGTGGTACAGGGTATCACATGGAGAGGGAGCTGAGCATGGTAGCTCAGGTCTCTGTTCCTCTTCTTATAAAGCCACCAGTCCTACTCCCATGGTAACCTACTAATCTATTAACTCAAGAATGGATTAATTTATTCATGAAGACAGAGCCCTCATGACGCATCGCCTCTTAAAGACCCCACCTCTCTACTGCCACATTGGGGATTAAATTTCAATGTGAGTTTTCTAGGGGACAGATATTCAAATCATAACACATCTGGTATACTTGAAGATTAAAGGGTAAATTATGATTTTAGCAAGAGTAATTGTGGTGAACTTGTAGAGGTAAAAGCTATATTAATATATTTTAACATAAGATTATTTATCAATAATATCATTAATTTTGTTATAATCTGTTATATTTTAAAAAATCATTTTCACATGATGTTTTATAGAAAGTAAACATGGTATAAATTATAATGATTAATATATCATGGTATAATTCAAATCTTTAGGAATTGACTCTTAATTTTTCAAATTTAGGTTCACACTTTGGAAACAAAAGACCTTATGTAGAAAACACACTTGCATCAAATTTTACTTTTGGCGCAAGCTCATCTTCTGCACGAGAAACTAATTATCCTCAAACACTTAAAACTCCATTGTCTACTGGAAATCCTCAGAGATCAGGTTATAAAAGCTGGACACCACAAATGGGATATTCAGGTAAAATAAGTGGAAGATTAACCTAGATGATCTTTTGAAACCTAAAAGTTTTATAAGTTATAAATTAGGGTTGTTAGTTTTGTTCATTTGAATTTATCTATAAATGATACGAATGAAAAATAAATACATTAGTTTACCTGTATCCATGATTTGAATCTAGATTAATAAGGCAACATAGTTTCTGATATTTTTTTTGTTAATAAATGCAGGTCTATATTATTTTAGCCATTCTGATGAAAACCACACAAGAAAGAGAAACTTCTTCCTTTTATACATGATGTTCATTTAAATCTAAAAGTTGACCCTGATCATACTGGGTTTGTTATACCGTAATTTTTATCTAAATCTACCAGATTTTCTTGAAGAGTAGATGGATAAGATAGGTTTTCATGTATAACAGTTTTCTAAAGTATATACAACAGAATTTCTTGGTTACAGGGTATGTTACTTGAATGCATATATTTATAAGATAATGACGAATTGTTTTTTAAAGTAGTTCTACCAATGTATAAATGGTTAAATTTATATTAGATCTACAGAAGTCAGTTTAAGCTCTGTAGTAGAATATGACCTTCTTATTTTTAATTAGAAAATAAATACCAAGTTCCAGTGGAAATTCAGTAGACATTAAAGATATCTCCTCTAAGGTTCTAACAGTATGTTTATGCTGTTATCTCTCTGTTTTAAATAACATAATAATGAGCACCTTAATGCATAAAGCTTTTTTCTGGGTCTCTTTATTGTTTCCTTAAAATGCTCCCTTAGAAGTCAAATTACTGAAACAAAGGGAAGTTACTGTTTAATTTTTTTGAAATAAAGTCTCATTCTGTCACCTAGGCTGGAGTGCAGTGGTGCCATCTGGACTCACTGCAACATCTGTTTCCTGGGTTTAAGTGATTCTCATTCCTCAGCCTCCTGAGTAGCTGGGATTACAGGCATGCACCACGACGCTTGGCTAAATTTTGTATTTTTAGTAGAGACGGGGTTTTGCCATGTTGGCCAGGCTGGTCTCGAACTCCTGACTGCAGGTGATACGCCTGCGTTGGCCTCCCAAAGTGCTGGAATTACAGGCGGGAGCCAGTGTGCCTGGCCAAAATTACCTTTTTTTCAAGGATCTCAGATATATTTCGAAATTTCTACTGAGAACTGGACTAATTTTTAATTCCATCAACAGTGTATGAGGAAAGCCAGTCTCACTGTATCCTCATCATTACTAACTTCTAAAATTTATTATGATTATGATTATTGGCTAATTTAATAATAAACATCATAATCATAAGGTTATCAAATTAGCCAATAATCATAATCATAATAAATTTTATTGGTTAATTTACTGATTATTATGGTATACTCTTAATAATATATAGAAATCTACTTCATTTGATATTGTCAGACTCTTAAAATATTTTTCAACATAACAGTTGTAAAATACTACATATATGAGTTTGCATTTTCCTGATTACTAGTGAGATTATCTTTTTGTGTGCTTTGGGACTATATATTTTTAATATTCTGTGAAATTAATGTTCATGTCTTTTACTCATTTTTATTTAGGCTTATGTTTCTGGATTTCTAGCAATACTGTTATATATTCAGAATACTAAATATTTTGATTAATTTCCTGTTTGTTTCTATGTTTCCAGTTCTCTTTTAACTTCCCTGGGTCATTATGTCTAGCTGTGTGCCAATATCACATCATCTTTAGCTTTATAATAAATCTTGATATTTGATATTTAGTAGGACAGCCCTACCACCCTTACCCTCCACAAGCCGCCTTCTTCTTTAGAGGAGTCTTGGTTCATCTTGGTCCTTTGCTCTTCCATATAAATTTTGGGCCAATTTTACAAGTTCTACCAAAAAACACATTGAGGTTTTGGTTGAGATTATAGTTGTACTGAACCAATAGATACTTTACAGAGGATTGAAATAAGAAGCTAACTGATATTTTATAGGTTGCATTATTTTGTTCTCTTGATTAAGAATTTCCTCTTCAGTGGATGTCCTTTGGTGGACATTCACATAGGATGCAAATATTTTAAATTTTATGATCGATCTTAGAAATCCATTTATATACTTCTTCCTCAAATGTTCTTGTCACCAGTCTTTCAATCATGTTCCTTCCAAGTCCAGCCATCTAGGTAAACCATTAGCAACTGCTTATAAATGAATCTAAATCTGTACTTCTGACCATTTCTCATTCTGGTCGTGATAAACAACCAAATGTACTGCTGAAAGATGAGAGATCAAAATGAACAGGCTGTGCATGGTGGCTCATGCCTATAATCCCAACACTGGAAGGCTAAGATGGGAGGACTGCTGCTTGAAGGCAGTCCAGCCTGGGCAACAAAGTGAGACCTTGTCTCTACAAACAAATTAAAATTAGCCTGGTGTGGTGGCACGCCTGTGGTCCTAGCTACTCAGGAGGCTAAGGTGGGAAGATCACTTGAACTCAGGAGTTCGAGGCTGCAGTGTGCCATGATTACAGGCCATTGCACTCCAGCCTGGGTGACAGAGCCAGATCCTGTCTCAAAAAAGAAAAGAAAAACTCAAAAAAATTATAAGAAAATAATAATGAGGCCAAGCGTGGTGCCTCAGGCCTGTAATCCCAGCACTTTGGGAGGCCGAGACGGGTGGATCACGAGGTCAAGAGATCGAGACCATCCTGGCCAACATAGTGAAACCCGGCCTCTACTAAAATATAAAAATTAGCTGGGCGTGGTGGTGCGTCTGTAGTCCTAGCTACTCGGGAGGCTGAGGCAGGAGAGTTGCTTGAACTTGGGAGGTGGAGATTGCAGTGAGCTGAGATCGCACCACTGCACTCCAGCCTGGCGCCTGGTGACAAAGCAAGACTCTGTCTCAAAAAAAAAGAAAAAAGAAAATAATAATGAATGTTGAATATCTCAATGAAGGAGGAATTTCTTAGCAGAAAAGCAATGAGAGAAATTATACAGAGAAAGATTGTACAAAAATGGAAATTTTTGAGATAGCAAAAATATCAAGATTGGTAGAAACTATATATTATTGTCATTGATTTATACAATTCTCATAAAAACATACTGAAAAGGCCGGGCGCGGTGGCTCAAGCCTGTAATCCCAGCACTGTGGGAGGCCGAGGCGGGTGGATCACGAGGTCAAGAGATCGAGACCATCCTGGTCAACATGGTGAAACCCCGTCTCTACTAAAAATACAAAAAATGAGCTGGGCATGGTGGTGCGTGCCTGTAATCCCAGCGACTCAGGAGGCTGAGGCAGGAGAATTGCCTGAACCTGGGAGGCGGAGGTTAGCCTGGGTAACAAGAGCGAAACTCCGTCTCAAAAAAAAAAAAAAAAAAAAAAAACATACTGAAAAACATTAAGACCTAGTAAACATTATATAAAATGTTATAAACATCTCTAAAAAGAAAACAAAAGAGATAACAATGGATAGATTAAACTATGTTCAATTTCAATAGTACTTTAAAAATATAGATTTAAGTGGCAGTCCATTAAATTAGCCAATACTTATATTCACAATAAATTCTAGAAGTTAGTAACGATGAGGATACAGTAAGATTGGCTTTCCTCATACACTATTGATGAAATTAAAAATCAGTCCATTCTCAAAAGAAATTTGACAATATATCTGAGCTCCTTAAAAAAAATGATGTTTCAGTAATTTGTTGCAGTAATTTGAGTTCTAAGGGTGCATTTTAAGGAAATAATAAGAAACCCAGAAAAAAGCTTTATGCGTTAGGATGCTTATTATTATATTATTTACAACAGAGAGATAATAGCATAAATGTGCTGTCAGAACCTTAGAGGAGATGTCTTTTTTGTGTACTAAATTTCCCCTGGAACTTAGTATTTATTTTCTAATTAAAAATAGGAAGGTCATATTCTATTACAGAGCTTAAACTGACTCCTGTAGATCTAATATAAACTTAACCATCATTTATTACATAACGTTCATGGGGAAAAGGTTTCTGAGATTTGAACACATAGATTTTTAAGTGAATCCTTAAGTTTACTGCTGACTCAGGTAGCATAAATATCTAAGTTTTTCATGGGCATTGTAATAGAAGAATGGAAGAAGAAATGAATCTAGGTCAGGGAGGGAAAAGAAGGAGGAAAAGTAGTTAATTAAAAGGTTGACAAGGGAATAAAAGACTATTTTGCTTCTTTTAAAATAAAATTTTAGAATTTTTTAGTCTGACTTTTTTCATATGTGAATAATGCCCATATTTTTGCATAATTTCCCATACTTTATAAAACATTTCTATATGATTGCATTTAATTCTTATAATAATCATGGAAAAGTTTGGTATTTCTAGTTTATAGATGAAGAAATGGTAGCTTTAGAAGTTTAAAAAATTTACCTAAGCATTCATAGTTTGTAAGGCACAGATCTCCAAATCAATAATGTCTGTAGTGGTTCATAGCACAAGCTGTGGAGCTAGACTGCCTGGCTACAAATGCTGTCTCCACCGGTTACATTCATGCCTCGGTCTCCTTATAACTAAGTGGAGAAAATAATGGTGCCTATCTGATAGGATTGTTGTAACAATTATGTGAGTTAATTTAATCAAAGAACTTAGAACATTCTTGACACTTAGTAAGCACTAATACATGCTGGATATTTCATTATATCACACAGATATCTCATAATTGGAATTCATAGTTATATAATGTTTAATATTTTTTTTTTGAGAAGGTCTTGTTCTGTCACCTAGGCTGGAGTGCAGTGGCATGAAACACAGCTCACTGCACTTTCAACCTCCTGATCTCAAGTGAGCCTCGAATCTCAGCCTCCTCAGTAGCTGGCACCATGCAGGTGCACAATACCACACCCAACTATTTTTCAATTTTTTTGTAGAGGTGAGGTCTTATTATTTTGTCCAGGCTGGTCTCAAACTCCTGGGTTCTAGTAATCCTCCCACCTTGGCCTTCCCAAGTACCAGGATTGCAGGTGAGCCACCATGCCCAGCCCCAAATAGCTTTTATTTTATTTTTTCATTTTTTCATTTTATGAGACGGAGTCTCGCTCTGTCGCCCAGGCCGTAGTGCAGTGGCACGATATCAGCTCACTGCAACCTCTCAACTCCAAGCAATTCTCTTGCCTCAACCTCCCCAGTAGCTAGGATTACAGGCATGCACCATCACGCCTGGCTAATTTTTGCATTTTTAGTAGAGACGGTGCTTTGCCATGTTGGACAGGCTGGTCTCAAACTCCTGACCTCAGGTGATCCACCCACCTCAACTCCCAAAGTGCTGGGATAATAGACATGAGCCATTGGGCCCAGCCTCCAAATAGCTTTTAAATTACAGAGTAATAAGGTAAATAATCTGTTTTCTGACACCAAGTTTAGTGTTCCTTTTATGACTCCATTCCAACAAAATAGAAAATAAGACAATGTAAAATTTGTTATTTCTTTTTTTTTTTTTTTTTTTTTTTGAGACAGAGTTTCACTCTTGTTACCCAGGCTGGAGTGCAATGGCGCGATCTCGGCTCACCGCAACCTCCGCCTCCTGGGTTCAGGCAATTCTCCTGCCTCAGCTGGGATTACAGGCACACACCACCTTGCCCAGCTAATTTTTTGTAGTTTTTAGTAGAGACGGGGTTTCACCATGTTGACCAGGATGGTCTCGATCTCTTGACCTCGTGATCCACCCGCCTCGGCCTCCCAAAGTGCTGGGATTACAGGCGTGAGCCACTGCGCCCGGCCAAGATTTGTTATTTCTAAATGTGAAGTCAAATTTTGGTAAAATACTCTGAGAATTAACATTTTTATTTGTTCTGGTAATGAAAAGTTATTTTTTGATGAGGAAAAGAAATGGTTATTTCCTTGTCAAACAGTAGCTATGTCATAGACTAGGTGCTTTAAGAAATTATGTGAAAGAATTAGAAATAATTATTATTAGGCCAGGCTTGGTGGCTCATACCTGTAATCCCAACACTTTGACAGGCTGAGGCGGGTGGATTACCTGAGGTCAGAGGTTCGAGAACCGTCTGACTAACATGGTGAAACCCTGTCTCTACTGAAAATACAGAAATTAGCCGGGCATGGTGGCGCATGCCGGTAATCCCAGCTATTTGGGAGGCTGAGGCAGGAGACTCACTTGAACCCAGGAGGCGTAGGTTGCAGTGAGCCATTGCACTCCAGCCTGGGCAATAAGAGCAAAACTTCATCTCAAAAAAAAAAATACAAATGATAATTATCAATGTTTATATATTATTTTATTTAAAAATTTACAGCTTCATCCTCATCTGTGATTTCTGCACACTCCCCATCAGTTATTGTAGCTGTTGTAGAAGGGAGAGGACTTGCCAGAGGTGAAATAGGAATGGCAAGTATTGATTTAAAAAACCCCCAAATTATACTATCCCAGTTTGCAGACAACACAACATATGCAAAGGTAAGTATTAATAATCCTAGAAAATGGTTGCTCTGCTAGGCAGTATCTAGATTTTAAAGTCAGGTTCCTTATTAGTTTTTTGATAGAATAAAGGTTATTCATTATTACGTCAATGTAAATACTCTGAATTAAAATAAAATTATATTTGATTTTTATTTTTAAACATATTTTGTCCTAAAAAGAATGTGTTTTACTGTTGCTTGAATAAGCTATTGCTACTATTAGTTTTTAAAATTAACATCTTCAAATTAATAATTTCTGGATTTATTCCAAAGGTAATATATGTGATAATGCGGTACTGATCACAATCCTTAAAGACAGTCCCAAATGTCATAATCCCGATGGTCAATCTTGAAAGATCAAAACCCTTACTGTTGAAATCTTAAAAGCTGAATTCAGGAAAGTCAAAATTAGGAAAGTCATAATTTAGCCTCTTAACTAGGAAAGTCATAATTTAGCCTCTTAACTTTTTGCTGTCTCCTCTTATTTTGCCTTTTGCCTTTATTTTATATCACTCATCATTAATTTGGGCTACTTGCATATTGTCATGGGAATTTGCATGATCTTTCAGGTAGAGGTAGATTACCTCCTAATTTCTATGTTATTTGACCCAATTATTATTTTATTTTATTTTTGGAAGGTCTTGCTCTTTTGCCTAGGCTGAAATGCAGTGGCATGATCATGACTCACTGTAGCCTCCCACCTCAGCCTCTTGAGTAGCAGGGACCACAGGCACTCACCAACACACACAGCTGATTTTTAAATTTTTTTGTATAGATGAGGTCTTGCTCTGTTACCCAAGCTAGTCTCAAACTCCTGGACTCAAGTGATCTTGCCCCCTTAGAAGTTGAATTGCCCCCCTCAGGTTCCCAAAGTGCTAGCATTATAGGCATGAACCATCGAACCTAGCCAATTATGATTTTGAAGATGTGATCTAGTGTTTTATTTCTAGTGTTTCATTATTTTTTCTATTATCTTCCTTTAGTTTCTCTTTATGGTCCTCTAGTATGTACACTTCCCTTTCCTAATAATTTTTTATTATAGCTAACAACCTTAATGATATTAGTATTGCATACTAACTTCATCTGTGGGTATTTTATACTTTAATATAATTTCAAAAGAGTAGGAAAAGAGTTTTTAAAAAAACAGGAATGTTAGAGAAATTGAGAATTTCTGTGTTTAGAATAGAATAGTTCTAAGAAATACAACCTATTTCATGAAAAGCTAAGGCATAAGGCAGACATTTTTCATTTGTGTTTCTGTACTTTTCAACACTTAAACTGTACCAGTGTGGCCATACTGATTGTGTTGCCATAGTTCCCCACCCTCCCTTTTTTTTTTTTTTTTTTTTTGAGATAAGGTCTTACTTTGTCGCCCAGGTTGGAGGGCAGTGGTGCAATCTCGGCTTACTGCAACCTCCGCCTTCTGGGTTCAAGTGATTCTCCTGCCTCAGCTAGTCCCAAGTAGCTGGGATTACAGGTGCGTGCCACCACACCTGGCTAAATTTTGTATTTTTACAGAGACAAGGTTTCACCACGTTGGCCAAGCTGGTCGTGAACTCCTGACCTCAAGTCATCTACCCACCTCAGCCTCCCAAAGTGCTGGGATTACAGGCATGAACCACTGCACCCAGCCCTTAGTTACCCTTATTGGATATATATATATTTTTCATGGAGATGGAGAAAATATTAAGTATAAGAATTTATTTACAAAAGTTTTATTTTGGGAATACATATTTGATAAGTTCAAATTAGCTTTCAAACTTAACGGCTATTACAAACTATTGTGAGTAAAACAGCCTATTTTATGACAGTATTTTATATTAGTAATTATATAAGATATATATGTTTAATATATTACCATTAGAAATATATATATTTGCATATATATTATATATTTTGTTGATGGAGGTGGTGGAGGTGGTGGTGTTTGTCTGTTTCTTTTTGAGACAAAGTTTCCCTCTGTCGCCCAGGCTGGCAGTGGCGCCTGGTGTGAGCTCGGCTCACTCCAACCTTTGCTTCCTGGACTCAAGCATTCCCATACCTCAGACTCCTGAGTAGCTGGGATTACACGCATGCAACACCATGCCTGGTTAATTTGTGTATTTTCTTTTTTTTTTTTTTTAGTAGAGACGGAGTTTCACCGTGTTGGCCAGGTGGGTCTCTAACTCCTGGCCTCAAGTCATCTGCCTGCCTTGGCCTCCCAAAGTGCTGGGATTACAGGTGTGAACTACCGCATCTGGCTAGAAACATATTTTAATTGAAATATATCCTTAGAACAGATATAGTTTTGTGTATCTATGAATTAATTTTGAACACTTATCTCAGAAAAATATGAAACTTTTTTATTTCCTAAGCTTATATTTAAGAAACTGTTTATTCAAATGATTTCAGGTGATCACTAAACTCAAAATTTTATCACCTTTGGAAATAATAATGTCAAATACTGCTTGTGCTGTGGGGAATTCCACCAAGTTGTTCACTCTGATCACAGAAAATTTCAAGGTAAGTGATTTTTATTCTTGTTTGTAACATTTTATTTAAAATTTATTTAATAATATCATTATAAAGGACAATAATTTTAGTAACTTTGTATTCAGTGTCCTAAAGTAGTCACTAAATATAAATCCTAATCTAAGGGGACTATTAATACAGATAATAAAAATGATAGGGAATTTTCTTATTTGATTTGACACCCTTGATCTACTTTAAACAACAGAAAAAAATGTTTTAGGTAATAAGGAAGTTTCTCAGAGTCTACAAGGGGCAGGCCAATAGAGAAAACATAGGTTTCCCTTACGTGTAGCTTCCTGGAAACTACTTATTGTGCTGTCAGACTGGTTGAAATTGAAGCTCTTCTCCTTCTAGGGGATAGCACCTATCAGCACCTTTTTTCTGTTGGGAATTTAATTTGTATTACAGCATTGTTTCAGCTTCCCCTGGTAACATGTACTGCTTTACTATTAGCCTGCTATTCTAGTCTCCATCTGTGGGACTGTGGTGGGTAATCACTGTGGAACCTTATCCAACAAATGCCCTTCTCCTCAATTAGGGCCTTCCCACCACATATTAATAATTTATTCCTTCCCTCTAGCAAAAATCTCTGTTTCCTAGAATGGGGCTGTGGTTCCAAACCAAGTAGACAGCATTGCAGTTGGAATAATTTCTTAGGAGTGCAAATTATTTTCAGCATATACTATATTTTGTTATGTTTGTAGACTTTTTACTTTAACACCAAGCTGAGGTTTAGAGTCCAGTGAGTTCCTTTCCTGTTTCTAATATATTCAGCATTTGCAGTCATATAAGATTTGCCATGGTACTCTTAGAGATCCTGTATAGATGAGCTGTCTCTGCCTCATTGCCAGAGATGTTCTGTATGCTAAATCTATTGTCTCTATTAGACAAATCACTTCATCTGTTCTTTTTCCTTTATAACTTTATACTTCTTTTCATCACCCCTATTTATCCATACCTTTCCAACTTTCATTCATATTTTATTGTTGTTGTTACAATTAGGCCTTATAATTCTTTTGGCTGTAAATAACAGAAATCTAATGGAAACTAGCTTAGGCAAAAAAGGAAATGTATTGCCCTATGTAACTGGGAAGTCAATGGTTGAATAGATCTTATTCCTACTGTCTAAGGTAAACAAAACCAAACACTAGCTAAATATTTTAATCAGTATTATGCCATTGCAATAGAGAAAAGAGTCCAGTGTGGACTGAACTGAACTTCAGTTTGTACTGAGCATTTTAATGGGAGAATAAGGGAATAGGGAGGGGTAAAAGCACAGGAGTCAGGGAAATAAAAAAATTATTATACAAAAAGTAGAAAGGTGGGATTGGTCCATGTGAAACCTATCTGGGTTTGCTAATTGGCACTTATTGAAGTTAGGCTCCGACTCTCCCACAGAGGATAGGAGACAAGGATCCTGTCTTTAGGTGCTAAGTGGAATGAACAGTAAATTGTTATTGGCAGCCTGAGTTTTCTTAGGCAGGCACTTTAAGAACGCTAAGATCTCCCAGGGATGTGGCTTTGAGCAGTTAGAAACAATGTTAGTGTTTTCTTAAAGTCTTTATAGGTCAGATGGAGGATTAGTTTAGAAGAAGGCTTATAGTAGCCCAGGTAGAGTTTGGTCAAGGAGAGAATCTTTATCACTACTCTCATTCCCGGTATCATCCTTTATCTACTGCAGATAGTTTACTTCTATGAGATTTAAGAAGATGATTGCTGATGGCTCTAGGCTGATATCTCAGCTTAGCTAATCCAAAGGGAAAATAACTTCTTTATTCCAGTGTCCATGCATGAATTCCAGGGAAGGATGCTGATTGATCTTGCTTTGTTCATTTTTCCCACACATTAGATTAATCACTATTTCTGGGGGTAGATACACTATGATTGACTAATCCTTTTGTTGTGGGACACAGAATACTATAATATATAGGCCTACCAGAATCACATGGAATGGGGGATAAGTCCTCCAAAGGCAAAAACAACATAATTTCAGTACATTTAAATAATAAGGCAGTATAGCATAGTGCTTAAGAATAGAGAACTCAGATTGTCCCGGTTGCAAATCTTGACTCTAAATGACCTTGTGCAAGACACTTAACTTCTTTGAGCTTCAAGTTTTTCATCAGTAAATTAGGGACAATAGGAGGTACCAACCTCCTAGAGAATTTATATTTTATATAGGGTAATCAGAGATGGCCTCATTGATAAGGTTACATTTGGGCAAAGCCCTGAATGGAGGAGGGAGCAAAATATGGAGACATTTGAGGTAAAAGTATTTTAAGCAGAGGGAATATTCAATATTATTATTATCATTATTGCTATTATGACTACACTTACCTTCATTAGCCAGGTACAGTGACATGTGTCTGTAGTCCCAGCTACTTGAGAGGCCAGGGTGGGAGGATCACTTGAGTCCAGTAGTCCAAATCTAGCCTGAGCAACATATATTGAGACTCCTTTCAAAAAAAAAAAAAAAAAAAAAGACCTTCATTAAATCAAAAGCAATATGAAGTAAAAGGAAAATGGACTTCAAGGAAATCTAAATTTGAGTCTCAGCTTTGGCAGAGATCAACTGTATGATATTAGAAAAGTTACTTGATTTTTCAGAATTTTATTTATGTGAACACTGGAGTTAATAAGATATGTCATAGGATTATTATGAAGATTAAATGAGATAACTTTTAAAACAATCTTGGCACATAACACATTCTCCACTTGGTCATGATTTTTTTCATTCTTAACATCTCTTACATAAGTCCACTAATATAATATTACCTTTTCTTACCCGTTAGTTTTATTGAAAGGGGGTAAACCTTTTACTTAACAGCTTCACACTTTTTAAAAGTTTCATTATCAACCGGGTGCTGATGTCTCACACTGGTAATTCCAGCATTTTGGGAGGTTGATATGGGAGAATCACTTGAGTCCAGGAGTTTGAGACCAACCTGGGCAACATAGTGAGAACTTGTCTCTGCTTAAGAAAAAAAAAAATAGGCCGGGCGCGGTGGCTCAAGCTTGTAATCCCAGCACTTTGGGAGGCTGAGGCAGGTGGATCACGAGGTCAAGAGATCGAGACCATCCTGGTCAACATGGTGAAACCCCGTCTCTACTAAAAATACAAAAAATGAGCTGGGCATGGTGGTGCGTGCCTGTAATCCCAGCTACTCAGGAGGCTGAGGCAGGAGAATTGCCTGAACCCAGGAGGCGGAGGTTGCGGTGAGCTGAGATCGCGCCATTGCACTCCAGCCTGGGTAACATGAGTGAAACTCCGTCTCAAAAAAAAAAAAAAAAAAAGAAAAAAAAAAATTAGCTGTAGTCCCAGCTACTCAGGAGGACGAAGCAAGCAGATTGCTTGTACTCTGGATTTCAGGTTTGTAGTGAACCATGATCATGCCACTGTACTCCAGCCTGGGCGACAGAGTGGGACCCTGTCTCAAAAAGAAAAAAGTTTTATTATTGTTTTCTCTTTTTTCTAAATAAATTCCATTCACTTTATGTAAATAATGTATCATAGATTTGCTGGGCAGAATTGGTGTTTTCATCTTTTTACCTGGCGCATTATAAGAATCTACCCTTTCTCAATTATGATAGACTATGGAAAGATTAATATAAAACTGTGAGATGTTGTCTCTATACAGTACAATTACTAAAAGGCATAGACTGTCATGTTTATTTTTTATTATTGTATCTAACATATTCCATTAAAACTCATAAGAGTGAGGTCTAATTAGAAGTACAAACTGTACTATGATTCACTTAGCAAGGATAATCATTCTTTTTATATAAATATCTAAGAAAAGTTCTTAAATATTAAAAAATATTTATACAATATTTAAGCCACCTCCCTAGCTACCAGCATGTGCCTAAGAAAGCAGTTCTGAGCAAGCACATGGCACTTAAAAGTTTAATTTGAAATTAAAATTTCTTTTCAGAATGTTAATTTCACTACTATCCAAAGGAAATACTTCAATGAAACAAAAGGACTAGAGTACATTGAACAGTTATGCATAGCAGAATTCAGCACAGTCCTAATGGAGGTTCAGTCCAAGTAAGTTAGGTGTTTATTTATTTTTTTACTAGCCCACAGCTACCAATATCACATCAAGTAAGTTATAACTTAAGGAAAGTAAATAAATCCCTAGTGCGAGTTCCACAAGGGCAGGGACTTTTGTCTGTTTTGTTCTCTGCCGCATTCCTACCACCTGGAAAATCACCTGGTTCATAATACATAGTAATTACTGAAATAATGAAATAGTTAACTAAAATTTATACACAAGGCATATATTGCTAACTTAATTTATACAGAATTTCTCCAAATTTGTCATAATCTATTAATTATGGTTGCTGCTTACTTTACTTTGGAATGAAAAGCTGAAGTAGCTACAGTAAACTGCAAACGTGTGGGCATAGAAGTGAAACACAGGTAAACTGTGTTCCTGTTACTTCCTATCTTTACTCCAAAAAGATCCAGCAGGAGATGGAGAATGTTATTTTTGGATATCATTTCATAGAACATACCAAATGTTCTAGGAAGCATACCATGTTATTTCCTAGAACATACCAAATAGATACTTTCTTTGAGCCAGATTGGATTACATGTTTACTCAGCTAATAACAATCATTATTCTCACCGAGATCATAACATAGTTTTCTATACATTGGGAACTTCTGATTCTACCTTTAAAGTACCGGATTTTTCCAGGCCGGGCACAGTGACTCAAGTCTGAAACTCCAGCACTTTGGAAGGCCAAGGAGTTTGAGACCAGCCTTGGCAATGTGGCAAAACCCTGTCTCTACCAAAAATACAAAAATTAGCTGGGTGTGGTGGGACATGACTGTCATCCCAGGTACTTGGGAGGCTGAGGCAGGAGGATTGCTTGAGTCTGGGAGGTGGAGGATGCAGTAAGCTGAGACCACGCCATTGCACCCCAGCCTGGATGACAGCCAGACCCTGTCTGTGAATAATAAAGTATCAGATATTTCCAATATTTGAATATTTAGAATGGTACATCAAAAATGGATGCAAATTACCTTTGGTTGAATGTTATCCTTAACACAGGATTTATTGGAATCTAAAGTCCCTTAAGTGTCAGACTTGAATAAATTATTTATTTTCATTAATTTTTATGATTTAGAGGTTATTTACCTAGTTTTCAAAAAATATGAAATACCTACTGTACCTTTTCCTTTTGAGTTTAAGCAATGCTATGCAAATATTTATAATTTTTCTTAAGGTGAAGTATATAATTTTTTATACTAAAGTCTTATAGTGATGTATTATTGGTCATCTTTTAGGTATTACTGCCTTGCAGCTGTTGCAGCTTTGTTAAAATATGTTGAGTTTATTCAAAATTCAGTTTATGCACCAAAATCGCTGAAGATTTGTTTCCAGGGTAGTGAACAGACGGCCATGATAGATTCATCATCAGCCCAAAACCTTGAATTGTTAATTAATAATCAAGACTGTAGGTAAGATCATCCATTTTTTTTCTTATAAAATACATTGGTATATTTTATTTTATTTTTCTATAAATAGTTACTTTAAAGTTCTTTTTTTTTTTTTCTTGAGTCAGAGTCTAGTTCTGTTGCCCAGGCTGGAGTGCAGTGGTGCAATCTCAGCTCACTACAACCTCTGCCTCCTGGGTTCAAGCAATTCTTCTGTCTCAGCCTCCCACGTAGCTGGGACTACAGGCATGTGCTGCTATGCCTGGCTAATTTTTGTATTTTTAGTAGAGATGGGGTTTCACCATATTGGCAGGGCTGGTCTCAAATTCCTGATCTCAAGTTATCCACCCACTTCAGCCTCCCAAAGTGCTGGAATTACAGCCATGAACCACTGTACTCAGCCTAAAGTTCTTTAAATTATTTGATGGATAATTTTATTTAAGAGGTGGGGTCTTGCTATTTTGTCCAGGCTGGTCTGGAACTTCCAGGCTTAAGTGATTCTCCTGTCTCAGCCTCCCAAGTAGCTGAAACAATGGGCACAAACTGCCATGCCCAGCTAATGGTGGAGAAATATTGAATAAGCATGTTTTAGATTATTATACTGTTGTTGCTGAACTGGTCAGATATTTCACCAAAATCAAGCTTTAAAAAGATATTTATACTAAATAAATAATAAAAAAAAAAAACAGTTCAGAACTGGGTAAAGGATCTTAATAGATATTTTCCCAAAGAAGGTAAACAAATGGCCAGTAAATACTTGAAAATATACTTAACATTACTCGTCATTAGGGAACTACAAATCAAAACTACAGAAGTTATGACTTAAAATTACTCTTGTCTTTGACGTTACGATATCCTATGTTATCATACGATAACATAGAAAGTCAATGACCAACCCTGATAGTTATTACAGAGTGTTTTATATTCAGTTTTACCTTGTCATGTTTCATTCTTTATCATTGTTTGTCATTAGCATTGTCAAACATTGTTTGACTTCCTGCTATATATTAGGGATACAGAGACTTAAATGATAGAATATCTAGCCTCCAGGAGTTAGTATTGTAGTTGAAAGGAATAACTAAAACGTCTTTTCACAGACTTAAATGAAAGAATCTCAGGTTATAAGATGGATATTCTGCCTACTGAACTATCTGAATAGCTCCAGTGCTTCCATAGGCTTGTGAGCTGTTCAATACAGTGTTACATTCATTGATTTATATAATAAATGGGAGGTTTATGTGTGCCCGTCACCTCCTTTGTTCCTGCAGAAATAAATTCTCAAAAAAAAATTGTACATGTGATGGGAGACCCCCAGGCAGTTGATGATATGAATAGTTCCCTAAAAATTTGTTTAAATTGGTATGACAAAAATCTGGCAGTATTATGATGACTAAATCTTGAAAGTCATTCTTGTTTCCTCTCCTTTCACACCTCAGATTTGATCCATCAGAAAATCCTCTTGATCCAACCTTCAGAGTATATACCAGTATTGGATCACTTCACCATTTCCAAGGCTATCACCCTAACCCAAACCTCTGTCATCTTTAGCATGGACTACTATAATAGCCTTCCAGCTTTCTGCCCTCTTCTTACCCTCCTGTAATTAGTTTATTCTCAACATATTAATCGTAGTCGGGCTGTCATATCCTTTTAATCCAGAAATCAGATCCTGTAACTCTTCTGCTTAAAACCTTCCAGTGGCCCTCCTTACATTTAGAGTAGAATCCAGACTCTTTGGCCTACAAGGACTTCCATGTCCTGGCCTCTTCATTCATCTCCCTCTATTCTTACACAGCTCCACCAATCTTAACTTTATTGTTCTGGAACCCGATTTCCTGGGCTTAAATTGCTGCTATGCTGCTTACTTGCAAATCTTGGACAAATTACCTATTTTTCTTATACTTCAGTTCCTTCTGTTGTAAAATTATTTGGCCAATAGTAGTGTCTGTCTTATAACATGGTTATTAGAATTAAACAAGTTAATACATTTAAAGCACTTAGAAGAATTCTGGGTACATACTAAGGGTCATTTTATGTTAGCTATCCTCATTATTGTTGTCATCATTCCCATCCCATCATCATCTTTGCATTGCTGCCTTCTTTTTTATTCATTCAGGTCTCAACTCTACTGTCAAATACGTAGAAAGGTCTTTCTCAATCAGCCTAACTAAAGCTACCCTCCTGGTCCTTCTCTATATATTCCTGTTTGTTTGTTTTAGCGATCTCTGTACCTGAAATTATTCTCTTGATATGATTATGTGTTTTTTGGTGTTTTTATTGTTTATTTCCCCTTGCTCTTTGTCTGTCTTCAGTCATGGCCAGTAAACTGACAAAAGTTATTGGCAATGGCTGGGAGCAATGGCTCATGCCTGTAATCCCAGCACTGTGGGGAGGCCAACATGGGTGGATCACTTGAGGCCAGGAGTTCGAGACCAGCCTTGTCAACACGGTGAAATCCTGTCTCTACCAAAATACAAAATTTAGCCAGGTGTGGTGGTGCTCCTGTAATCCTAGCTACTCTGGAGGCTGAGGCATGAGAATCACTTGAACCCAGGAGGCAGAGTTTGCAGTGAGCCTAGATAGTGCTGCTGTACTCCAGCCTGGGTGACAGAGCAAGACTGTATCAAAAAAACAAAAAGTTATTGGCAGTCAGCCACTAGGTTGTAAGGTCCATGAAGATAGTAGTCATGTCCATCTTGCATGCCCAGTGTTTAGCATAGAGTTCTGAATACCATAAGGGCTCAAAAATATTTGTTAAATATTAAAATGAATTAGATTTTTTACATGTATTATACAAAGTTATCTAATAAATAGTTCAACTAAATACATTATTTTTGTTTGTTTGTTTGTTTTTGTTTTGTTTTATATAGAGTCTCACTTTGTAGCCCAGACTGGAATGCAGTGGTGTGATCTTGGCTCACTGCAACCTTTGCCTCCTGGGTTCAAGTGATTCTCATGGCTCAGCCTCCCAAGAAGCTAGGATTACAGGTGCCTGCTACTACACCTGGCTAATTTTTGTATTTTTTTTTTTTTAGTCAAGACAAGGTTTCACCATGTTGGCCAGGTTGGTCTTGAACTCCTAACCTCAAGTAATCCACCTGCCTTTGCCTCCCTAAGTGCTGGAATTACAGGCATGAGCCACTGTGCCTGGCCAGCATTCTTTATAATAGCTCCTTTCTTTATAAATCACTTAGAAATTATGAAATTCTCTTGTCATTAGAGCAAGATGATTATAGTAAATACTTATTATAACAGTATAAAAATTCCTCCACCCTTAAGGACATATTATTGATATCTTGCTATTATGGATGGAATATATAGACTAGAAAACTTTATATTATTCTGAATATTGTAACTAATAGAGTCATAAAGTGCAAGGAGATTCTATTCATCCTTGTTAAAGTATAGTTCACTGACCAATATCTTATTTGGGAACTTGATCAAAAAATATCTAAAAACATTTTTTTTTTGAGACAAGATCTCACTCTGTCACCACACTAGAGTACAGTGGCACAGGTATGGTTTACTGCAGCCTCAACCTCCTGGGCTCAAGCAATCCTCCCATATCAGCCTTTTGAGTAACTGGAACTACAGGCCTGTGCCACCGTGTCGTTAATTTTTAATTTTTTGTAGACACAGGGTCTCACTATGTTGTCCATGCTGGTCTTGAACTCCTGGGTTTAAGCATTCCTCCTGCCTCGACCTCCCAGAGTGTTGTTGGGATTACAGATGTGAGCTACTGTGCCTGGCCCAAAATGTAGATCCTCATGCTTTTTCTTAGACATACTAAATTACAAACTCATGTAATTGTATGCACAATAAAGTTTAAGCACCATTGCTGTAGATTATAGGATTATTTAATTGTAACTTGCATTTTTCTTTGTATTCTTAATGACATTTCTTGTGTTTTCAAAGGAATAATCACACTCTCTTTGGTGTTTTAAATTATACTAAGACTCCTGGAGGGAGTAGACGACTTCGTTCTAATATATTAGAACCTCTAGTTGATATTGAAACCATTAACATGAGATTAGATTGTATTGAAGAACTGCTTCAAGATGAGGAACTATTTTTTGGACTTCAATCAGGTAAATCAATATTATTTAATTTTATAAATATAAATTATTGAAAATGCAATTGGCTTAGTTATTTTTTCCATGTTTCTGAAAGACAAGTAGTGAAGGTGTAAATTCTTGTATTCTTTTATGAAAGCTATTTTCCTGAAATTTTCTACCGAATCCCATAGTAAATAATTTCAGAGGTACATTTGTAATATATTTTGATTTCCTGGATGCTTTTCTTTTCCATTGTTTTTTCTTTTCTTTTTTTTTTTTTTTTTTATGTTGTTGTTCATAGATATCTTCTATTCTTTTTCTCCATGGAAATCCTCAAAGAAAGGAAGATTTGTCCAGACTAGGTAATTATCAACAGATAGGACGTACAAGTTTCCTAGCCTGCTGTAAAAACTACTACATATTCCATGGTTTAAAACAACAGAAAGATTTTGCCTTATAGTTGTGGAAGCTAGAAGCTGAAAATAAGGTGTCAGAAGAGCCACGCTCCCTCTGAAACCTTTGGGGAGAATCCTTTGCCCCTTCCTAGCTTTTCGTGGTTGCTGTCAGTCCATTTTAGGCCTTGGCTTGCAGGTTCATCATTGCAAACTCTGCTTCTATTGTCATATTTTTTTTCTCCCTGTGTGTCTTCATATTGTCTTCTTCTACTTCTTCTTTTTTTTTTTTGAGATAGAATCTCGCTGTGTCTCTAGGCTGGAGTGCAGTGGTGGGATCTCAGCTCACTGTAACCTCTGCCTCCCAGGTTGAAGCGATAATCCTGTCTCAGCCTCCCGAGTAGCTGGGACTACAGGCATGTGCCACCATGCCTAGCTAATTTTCGTATTTTTAATAGAGACGGGGGTTCACCATGTTGGCCAGGATAGCCTTGATCTCTTGACCTTGTGATCTGCCTGTCTTGGCCTCCCAAAGTGGGATTACAGGTGTGAGCCAGAGCGCCCGGCCCACATTGTCTTCTTATAAGGAAACTAGTCATATTGGATTAAGACTTACCTTAATAACCTCACTTTAACTTGATTACATGTGCAAAAACCCAATTTTCAAATAAGGTCACATTCACAAGTACCAGGAGTTAGGACTTCACAATATCATTTGGGGGTCACAATTCAAACCATAATAACATGGGATAAGAAAATTGCCCTTACCTCAAGGTCTGTTTCTGGAGAACCCAACCTAATACAGTCACCAACAGGCATATGTGTATATATATATATATATATATATTTTTTTTTTTTTTTTTAACTTTAATTTCTGGGATTGATGTGCTGAAATGCACTCAACATGCAGGTTTGTTACATAGGTATACATGTGCCATGGTAGTTTGCTGCACCTATCAACTTGTCATCTAGGTTTTAAGCCTCGCATGCATTAGGTATTTGTCCTAATGTTCTTCCTCCCCTTGCCCTCCACCCACCAACAGGCCCCAATGTGTGATGTTCCCCTCCCTGTGTCCATGTGTTCTCATTGTTCAACTCCCACTTAGGAGTGAGAACATATGGTGTTTGGCTTTCTGTTCCTGTGTTAGTTTGCTGAGGATTATGGTTTCCAGCTTCATCCATGTCCCTGCAAAGGACATGAACTCATTCTTTTTATGGCTGCATAGTATTCCATGGTGTATATGTGCCACATTTTCTTTATCTAGTCTATCATTAATGGACATTTAGATTGGTTCCTCGTCTTTGCTATTGTAAGTAGTGCTGCAGTAAATATACATGTGCATGTGTCTTTATAGTAGAATGATTTATAATTTTTTGGGTATATACCAGTAATAGGATTGCTGGGTCAAATGGTATTTCTGGTTCTAGATCCTTGAGGATTTGCCACACTGTCTTCCACATTGGTTGAACTAATTTACACTCCCACCAACAGTGTAAAACTGTTCCAATTTCTCTGCATGTTCTCTAGCATCTGTTGTTCTCTAACCTTTTAATTATTGCCATTCAAAGTACTTTGAAACCAATGAGAACAAAGAGACAATGTACCAGAATCTCTGAGACACAGCTAAAGCAGGGTTAAGAGGGAAATTTATAGCACTAAATGCCCACATCAGAGAGTGGGAAAAATCTAAAATAGACACCTTAAGCATTGCAATTAGAAAAGAAACTTTGTTATTTCTGCCTTAATTTCATTATTTACTCAGTAGTCATTCTGGAGCAGGTTGTTTAAGTTGTGTGGTTTTGAGTTAGTTTCTTAATCCTGAGTTGTAATTTGATTGCACTGTGGTCTGAGAGACTGTTATGATTTCCATTCTTTCTCATTTGCTGAGGAGTGTTTTACTTCCAGTTATGTGGTCAATTTTAGAATAAGTGCTATGTAGTGCTGAGAAGGATGTATATTCTGTTGATTTGGGGTAGAGAGTTCAATAGATGTCTATTAGGTTTGCTTGGTCCAGAGCTGAGTTCAAGTCCTGAACATCCTCATTGATTTTCTGTCTCGTAGTCATCAGATTCAACAAGGTTGAAATGAAGGAAAAAATGTTAAGGGTAGCCATAGAGAAAGGTCAGGTTACTTACAAAGAGAAGCCCATCAGACTCACAATGGATTTCTCTGAGAAACCCTACAAGCCAGAAGAGAGTGGGGGCCAATTTTCAACATTCTTAAATAAAATAATTTTTAATCCAGGATTTTATCCAGCCAAACTAAGCTTCATAAGTGAAGGAGAAATAAAATCCTTTACAGACAAGCAACTGCTGAGGGATTTTGTCACTACTGGGTCTGTCTTACAAAAGTTCCTGAAGGAAGCACTAAATATGGAAAGGAAAAACCAGTACTAGCCACTGCAAAAACACACCATAATATAAAGACCAGTGACACCATGGAGAAACTGCATCAACTAACATGCAAAATAACCAGCTAGCACCATAATGATAGGATCAAATTCACACTTAACAATATTAACCTTAAACGTAAAGAGGTTAAATGCCCCAATTAAAAGACACAGACTGGAAAATTGGATAAAAAGTCAAGACCCATCAGTGTGCTGTATTCAGGAGACCCATCCAATGTGCAAATAGTCATACAGTCTCAAAGTAAAGGGATGGAGGAGTATCTACTGAGCAAATGGAAAGCAAAAACAAAAGCAGCTATTGCAATCCTAGTTTCTGATAGGACAGACTTTAAACCAACAAAGATCAGAAAGACAAGGAAGCACATTATATGATGGCAAAGGGATCAATGCAACAAGAAGAGCTAATTATCCTAAATATATATGCACCCAATACAGGAGCACCCAGATTCATAAAACAAGTTCTTAGAGACCTACAAGGAGACTTAGACTCCCACACAATAATAGTGGGAGACTTTTAACACGCTACTGTCCGTATTGTTAAATGTAATAGACACATTAGTTCTCTTATTTGAATAAGAAAATTGCTCTTGGGCAAAGTACATCAACAGATACTTCTCAAAAGGAAGACATGCAAGCAACCAACAGACGAAAAAATTCTCAATATCACTAATTATCAGAAAAGTACAAATCAAAACCACAATAAGATACCATCACACACCAGTCAGAATAGCTATTAAAAAGTCAAAAAATAGCATGTTTGCAAGTCTGCAGAGAGAAGGGAATGCTCATACCTTGTTGATAGGATTGTAAATTAAGCCTCTGTGGAAAGCAGTTTGGAAATTTGTCAGAGAACTAAGAATAGAATTACCATTCAAACCAGCAATCCCATTACTGCATCTAAACCCAAAGGTAAATAAATTGTTCTACCAAAAAGACACCTGCACTCATATGTTTATTACAACATTATTCATGGTAGCAAAAACATGGAATGAACCCAGGTGCCCATCAACAGTGGATTTGGTGGAGAAAATTTGGTACATATACACCTTGGAATACTATATAGTCATAAAAGAATGAAATCATTTTTTGTAGCAGCATGGATGTAGCTGGAGGCCATTATTCTAAGTGAATAAACACAGAAACAGAAAACCAAATATTGCATGTTCTCACTTATATGTCAGAGCTAAACATTGGGTATACATGGGGATATAAAGATGAGAACAACAGATATTGAGGACTCCAAAAGGAGACAGGAGTGGGGCAAGGGTTCAAAAATATTGGGTACTGTGTTTACTATCCAGGTGCCATATTCATTCGAAGCCGAAACTTCAGCATCACACAATATATCTGTGCAACAAACCTGCACATGTACCCCCTGTAAAATAAATTTTTTTAGAAAGGAAAAGAAAGTTGCCTTTGCAACCTGGCTGTTTGTCCACTGACATGGCAGTACTGTTTTCTTCTTAAATCTGTAGATGGAAGGATAGTTTATATTCACTACTCTTTGTTCAATTTTTGGTTGCTTGCAGCTTGGTCTGTCTTCCATTCCTCCACTTGCCTGACTACCCCAGCTGGTGTTCTGGTAGTCTAAATGAAAGTGGTACATGAAAATCTAGAAGGCATTTAAGACCTGAGTAGGTTTTCTTCAGTTCAATTCCAAATACCTTTAATTAGTGTAATTCTTTCATAATTTTGGTATTATGTTGACTGTGACTCTGTCCAATGTTCACCATATTCTTTTTTAAATATATATATTCAGGTGTATTTAGTGAGACATTGGGAAAGGCAAAAAGGGACCATTTTTAACTATCCTTTACTTGTTAACAGCAACATCTTGTTGGTCTACCTATACTTGCTCTTTATATAATACGTAAGTGCTAGGAATATGAAAAGTCATTTAATCATGTTACATTGGTCAAGCTCCAACCATTGCCATCTTCTTTAACTTTCTGCTACCAAATATGCATTTATACTTATCTATTTTTCACTCCCTTTGTGTAAGTAAGCTGGAAGTGGTATTTTCTAGCTAATTCCTCCATCTGTGCTCTGGATCCCACCGTTGCACTTATCTCCTGAATCTTCATTATTTTTCTCTCTATTGGCTTCTTCTAAGAGGATTCAAACTTCCTCATGTCTCTCCCATCTTTGTAAAAGTTATCCCTGGACTTCATCTTCTCCAGCTACCACTATATCACTTTCTCTATTCATAACCAAATCTGTTGAAAAACAA